TTGGTGAGCCTTGTAATTTATCAGAATTTAACTTCATCTGTGGTAGGAAAAAACAATGTGTTTTGACACCACTTAAGAACAATGATGTGCCTCTCCTTTGTTTCTTAGTTGGGCCTTAGTCTGGCATTAAATTGTATTTAAGTATGAGCTTGCAACTTGGAAGGGCTTTCATCATTTTTTTGTTTGACAGAAGAGCTGTGTATTGTCGAAGAGTACAGAAGGCAAGCTGAACATAAATGTCTTTATGTAGGTGGACAGGGGCTGGAGCTTCCAGCGCTTTCAGTCTTGGGTCCCTCTTCTGCAGGAGTGCCAGCTGGGTTCCTGTTCGTAGAGGTCTGGGGTGGTGGGTGGCAGTTGCTTTATCTGCACAGCATTTGAGAATGGATGGATAGCTCCTGGGCCATACAAACACTTGTTCAAGCTTCTTTTGCCATACTCATGGTAATATTTACCTGCTCTAGTTCTCTCCTTTTGTCATCTCCATTTACTGTCTTTTTTTCACGTTTACGTTGTTCTTTCTGCTTCTCTGCTTTCCCTTCCCTCTCTTACCCATTTTCTCTTCAGTTTTTCCTTCTCTGCCAAGTCACTCCTCATTTTCATTTTGCGTGCTGCCTAGAATACTTTCTCCTGAGTCTTTCCTAATTCCCTTTTGATTAGCTTTTTATTTTGTGTAGAGATTGCATATACAGACAAGAATGCTTAGAATTTAGACAATTGTTGGATAGCTTCCTAGCACAATCTGAAGCTTGCATTCAAGGATTTATGCATGCTACCAAAAATCATCCTTAGGATAATGCACAGAGCTCCTGTGCTCCAAGGCACTTTGCTCATGTTAACTGGGTTCTTGAATCAAGTATTATTCAGGTGAAGTGGTAATAACATTGTGGAGGATACATCTGCTCTGGTCCGGATGTTTTTGCCATGTTAAGAGTGACAAATCTGTCAATAAATGGATAATTTAATAAGGAGAATCAGTAAGAATAGGGTACTGTTTCAGAAGGTTATTGACCTGAAACGGAAAATTTTCTGGACAAGACTGGCATAGTTCCAGTGCTGCTACCTGCCAGGAGATAATAAAAAGCAGTTAAAAAGATACTGCTATTGTTAAAGAAATACTGCAGCACAGCACCAGTATTTCTGCTTACAGAGAGACGAACAGAGAAAGACTGGTGGGTGATGTGACAGTTGGACGCCGTCTTGGGCACAGCCATCACTAAATGCTAGAGTTTTTGATTCTTGGAGAAGTAAGGAGGGGGTCAGCAGAACTGCTGCCTTGGACTTGCGGAGGGCAGACTTTGGCCTATTTAGGAGCCTGGTTGACAGAGTCCTGTGGGAGGCAGTCGTGAAGGGCAAAGGAGTCCAGAAAGTCAAGAAGGAAATCTTAAAGGCACAGGAGCAGGCTGTCCCCATATGCCAAAAGGCAGACTGGTGGGGAAGAAGACCAGTGTGGCTGAACAGAGGGCCTTGGCTGGAGCTCAGGAAAAAAAGAGTTTATGGCCTTTGGAAGAAGGGGCAGGCAACTCAGGACTACAAGGATGTCATGAGATTATTCAGGGAGAAAATTAGAAGGGCCAAAGCCCAACTAGAATTTAATCTGGCTACTGCCATAAAAGACAGTAAAAAATGTTTCTATAAATACATTAGCAACAAAAGGAGAGCCAAGGGCAATGTCCATCCTTTATTGGATGTGGGGGGAAACATAGTGACAAAGGACAAAGAAAAGGCTGAGCTACTTAATGCTTTCTTTGCCTCAGTCTTTAATAGACCAGTTCTCAGGGTACCCAGCCCCCTGAACTGGAAGACAGGGATGGGTAGCAGAATGAAGCCCCCATAATCCGAGGAGAAATGGTTGGTGACGTGCTACACCACTTAGACACATACGAGTCTATGGGGTCAGATGGGACCCACCCAAGGGTACTTAGGAAGCTGGCAGAAGTGCTCACCAAGCCACTCTTCATTTATCAGCAGTCCTGGCTAACTGGGGAGGTCCCAGTTGACTGGAGGTTGGCAAATGTGATGCCCATCTACAAAAATGGCCAGAAGGAGGATCCAGGGAACTACAGGCCTGTCAATCTGACCTCGGTGCTGGGAAGGTTATGGAGCAGATCATCTTGAGTGCCACCATGTGGCACGTTCAGGACAACCAGGTGATCAGGCCCAGTCAGCATGGGTTTATGAAAGGCAGGCCCTGCTTGAACGATCTCCTTTACAACAAGGTGACCCACTTAGTGGATGAGGGAAAGGCTGTGGACGTTGTCTACCTGGACTTTAGTAAAGCTTTGACACTGTTTCCCACAGCATTCTCCTGGAGAAACTGGCTGCTTATGGCTTGGACGGGTGCACTCTTCACTGGGTAAAAACCTGACTGGATGGCTGGGCCCAAAGGGTGGTGGTGAATGGAGTTAAATCCAGTTGGCGGGCGGTCACAACCGGTGTTCCCCAGAGCTCAGTATTTGGGCCAGTTCTGTTCAATATCTTTATCAATGATCTGGACAGGGGGATCAAGCACACCCTCAGTAAGTCTGCAGATGACACCAAGTTGGGTGGGATTGTTGATCTGCTTGAGGGTAGGAAGGCTCCACAGAGGGATCTGGACAGGCTGGATCGATGAGCCAAGGCCAGTTGTATGAAGTTCAGCCAGACCAAGTGCCAGATCCTGCACTTCAACAACCCCATGCAACACTGCAGGCTTGGGGAAGAATGGCTGGAAAGCTGCCAGCAGAAGAGGACCTGTGGGTGTTCATCGACAACCAGCTGAATATGAGCCAGCAGTGTGCCCAGGTGGCTAAGAAGGCCAACAGCATCCTGGCTTGTATCAGGTTTAGTGGTGGACTTGGCAGTGCTAGGTTAATGGTTGGACTTGATGATCTTAAAGGTCTTTTCCAACCTTAACGATTCTATGATTCTGTGATTCTGTGTGTACTTTAGCACCAGGAATAAGTGCTATTCCATGTAATCTCGGTAGCGTTGTGTTAGGAGGAGTGTTTAGAAAATAGAGGAGTTCTCCCCAAAGTGTTACCATGATTTTGGTGCTGTGAATACTCATAAAACCTTCAGTGGGGTGGGAACACCAGGCTTTTCCCCCCAGACAGGTGAGATTTACTTTAACTAAAACTCTGAAGGGTGCAGTCCTTTTAATTCCTAGAACACCAGGCTTTTCCCCCCAAACAGGTGAGATTTACTTTAAAACTCTGAAGGGTGCAGTCCTTTTAATTCCTTTTTCTACAGGCCACATTCTTAGGTGCAGAAATTCCTGGGTCTGACAGTTATTTCCTTACTGTCTACAGTCATACCAGCAAAAATAGCCTATAGACTATTTTAAGCATCTGCTCGGGAAAATCAGGAGGCTTCAGTAAGAAGATATTGAAATGATTTAGAATGGAAGTAGTCATTGTGATATCCTTGATCAAGATGGCTATTGGCAGAAGTCATCAGCTTTTTCCTCATTTGTTGGGAGTCTAACTACTTAAAGATAACATTTCATTTTTTAAAAAAAGTATATATCCTGTCTGGTGTCTGCTTAGAAATGATAAACTTCCTCTTTTTGCATCTGGTTCCTCCCATCCTGCCCAATTCATGCGCATCCATGACAGAAACAACATTTCGTAGTTCTTCATTTGCTGTAGTGGTTTTACAGCCTACGTTCTGGGGAACGGCCCTGGGCCCTCAGGCCCTTGTGTCTGCTCTAGGAAATCCTGTGAAGCGCTTTGGCAATTCCTATGGGTGATGTTAAACCCTACCTCATCTGCAAATAATATGCAGCGGGAACTGGGCTGCTGCAAATGCCAGGTCCTGCACGGACTCGGGCACAGCAGTCAGCAGTGCCGCCCATGCAGCGGCCAAGCCCTACTATGATTGAGTCGGGATTGATGAAGTTGTAGCCACAGGGTTAAGGGAAGTGATTTTTTTCCCCTCTTTTTCAGAACATATGAGACCACATCTGGAGCACTGTGTCAGGTATAAGAGCGGGAAAAATAAATGTCAGAGATTTTATTTTTGTTCAGTCACTGCTTTGAAAACTTAGTGCCTTAAATCCAGGTCTTGTGCTGCTTAGGTTGTATGGGTTTTGTTTAAGTTCAGAAACCTAAGTCTGAAATGCACATTGGATCTGTCTGAAGAAGTTGGCTTTGATCTGTAGCCTTGCTTTCTTTTCCCTGGTCCCCTCATCAGGTGGACTATGAGGATCCCTTTGCAGAGGGACTGTTGCATTTACAAGGTTAATTGTTCATCTTCATGGCTGCTGGGGAAGGAGACAACGGTTGCTGGGACTATGGCTGGCTCACAGTTACCCCACAAAGCTCAGTACTTTGGTGCATCACTGTGAGACCACCCTGACTGTCCCTGGTCGGTCTTTACTGGCTCTGACAGGTGGTTTCCAGTAACTCTTTTCCCAGTTATTGTCCTATTCTTCAGGGTGGAATAAAATGAAAACTCTCCAGGTGAAGCTGGTGGGATTCACATCTCATCCATCTTTTCTGGGGACTTTTTAAAAAGCCTTTATTGTTCTCATGTTGTTTAGTGTCAGTAGTAGGAGCTCCCATCAGTAGTATGGTCTGTGGCGTTTTCAGATCCCCACATTTGAAGCGAACCGAGACCCGCTCTTGGAAAGCACGTCCTCAGTTCAGGACAACTTTCTGCATTCCTGATACCTGATATATAAAATAGCAGGATTTATTTTGATACACATATAAATGTCTATCAATGCCAAAAATTAACTGGAAGCAGGCTTTTATGTATGGGAAGAATTAGAAAAACTACATGATCTGTTGCAGTACTCAGACTGACTTACTTGTTTCTTATTATTAGGGGAGGGGAAGGGCAAAATACTAGTTCAATTATCTGAACCTAAAAACATAGCTAAAAAGATCTTCTGTACAATAAATAAACATTTTCTAATTTCAGATTACTTTAGCAGCATGAAAAAGTACTGTCTCCCCTGCCCCAGGCAACTTCTTAAAGTCAGGACCTTGTTAACTAAAAAATACTTTCTCTTTTTACAGTATATTCACTCATCAGGCATAATTCACAGGGTAAGTGGAAACAATATAAAAGATGTTTATATTCTGATAACGTGAGTGGTGTTTGTGTATAAGCATGCTCATAAATATGCCTGAACTACTGTTTATAGTGTCTCTATTTATAGTGTTTGATGATGCCTTTGGTTTCTTGTGCAATAGGAACAAAAGGTGCTGTGGCTATGTCAGTGTAAGTTGGGCACTCCAGGTGCACTGAATACAGCTTGGATTTCCATTTCTTAAATTACGTTGTGAAGTTGAGCTTTAAGTCCCCACAAGAGCAAATAGTGTCTAAACTGAGATGGATAAGAGTTTTTTCTGGTTTGTTTTTGTTTTTAAATTAAGATTAAACTTTTTAAAACAATGTTTAAATGTTGTTTAAACATCATATTAATGTTTAAAGTTGGAGGGGGGAATGAAAACATAGAAACTGAAAAAATAGTCCAACGTTTTACAGCCTTGAAAATATCAATTTTTTCTGAAAGAAATTAAGCATCTGATTCTTTTTGAATTCCTACTGTGTCTTAAATCCACTTAAAATCACTTCTGCACTGTGAAAAAGGAGTTCTGAATGATACCCTTGTGGTACCAAGCAGCATAACTTCCCCCCAAACTGAATCAGGTCAGTAGAAACTGGCCATTTGTAATAAAATATCAGGAGTACCACAGAAGGTGCACATTGTATAGTAGCGTTAAGCTGGACATGGAAACTATGCAAACTGCTAAAATAATGTAATAAATTGATATTTTTATTTCTACAACTGCTGTGATCATGGTCTAAATTTACAGTTGCTTAGACTTTTTCTAAGCTCCCTCTTGATGGCTCTTGAGCTTCTTGGTTTCGTTATGGTTCTTTGCACCCATTTGTTTCTCTCCAAGGCCCCTCTGATCTTAAAATATATTGGTATAAAACAGTTGGATGTCTGTTAAAAAGTTCAGAGAGAAGATTCCTCTAAATGTCTTGTACTAAAGTGACAAAGGTTTGCAAAAGCCGAAGGAAAACTTACATCTTTTGTTCTTTTTAACTGTGAATGTCTAAGAGTCAGTGGCGTTGCAAAATCTTCTTAGTCGTTGCCAGTACTCTTCCCTTTGCTGCTAACCTTAGAAGTACAAATTTTGAAGATCATTAGAAGTCTCTACAGGAGCTAGAGAGGCTTCAGGGAATTTTTTTTCATGTTGCAGTCTCCATTCAATTGACTTTGTTAGGAAATTGATTTTCCCACAGAAGAGAGCATAGGCTTTTATGTAAAATCTTGTTTGATTCCTTCAGTCATCCTTCTAGGTCTATGCAGGTATGGAACCTTTTTAAAGTATATTTTGATATGCAGTGTGTGCAGTCCAAAAATGTATATGTGAATCCTTAACTTCGTGGTATTACTATTAAATGCAACAAATTTATGTCCAAACCCCACTCACAGTAAGATGAGTGAGTTCCTTCACTGGCAAGTATTTTCCTGACTTCTAGCAGACAAAAAGTTGATTTGTCTGGGGGGAAAACATACTGGAAAAAAGCCAAACATACTCAAGTTTGTGTCTTTGTTTCTGTTATTTGTTACATTTAATTTTCTAATTTAGATCTATGACTTTGTTTTACCTGTTGCTGTTCTAAGTAGTTGCATGAAAACCATTAAACCTAAATGAAAGAAAGAAAGAAAGTGTGCTTTATTGTGCTTGCTGTAAAACAAATAAATAACATCCATTTCAAATCTGATTACAGGATCTAAAGCCTGGAAACTTGGCAGTAAATGAAGACTGTGAATTGAAGGTAGGATATGGGTTTTTTTGAAAAAAAAAAAAAAAGAGTTGTATTAGAAATACACCACAGAAGACAACGGGTGTAACGTCTGTAGACGTGCTGGCTGGTTTCACTGATGGGCCAGGCTTTCAGCCCACGGGCTTTGAGGAGTCATGGAAAAATAGGAGAACTCTGGAAAATGGAAGGGAAGAGGATCAGATGGGCAGTGGTAACAGTCTTGAAAAAAATTATGAGAGTGTGCTCCTTATAAGTATTCTCCCATTTGTCTGACTTCAGTCACCACAAGAATAATTAAATACTTATTTAAGAAATAAAGCCGTGAATAGTGAGAATCTATTCACCTCCGGTTTGTTTGTCCTTGACTGACATAAACGTGCATTTTATACAAATGGCAGAGGCCGTGATCAACTTCTGTGATTCTTCTAGAGCCAAGCACAAGGAGTGGCTGCACCTCCAGCTAGAAGCATTGCCCAGGATGTCCCAGCTGAAGACATCCAGTCCAGACAGGACACTCTGGGCAGCTGGTACCCAGTGCTAACAGGGGAGAAATGCAGGCTGACTCCAAGATGTAGGGGAGGATTTCTGGTGAGGAAGTCAGTGCCACAATTTACTACATTCATGGCATCGTTGGAGTGGTTGGTGACTTTGGTCCCTCCAGCTGGGTGAAGGGCAGTGTGAGAACTGAAACTGCTTCTGCGGGTTTGGCGTTGACAGAGCAGTCCATGCCACAGCTGTGTGCCCACGCCAAGCGCGTCTGCATGGGGGTAAATAGTCAGCCTTTTCCTGCGTGATGTGTCTGTTGCAATGATTACTGGTATATTTTTGTGCAGTCACTCAGCTAAAAATACTTTTCAAGAAAAAATCATGTCATGGTTACAGTCGGATAAGAGGTGTGATGGAGAATGATTTTTTTTATTATATGTTGCAGCTAATCACTTCAGAGAAGCGTGAGAGGAATCACATAGTGCTCACTGTGAACAAGAACATCTTATTTCTTTGAAAGTGATTCCTTCTGCACTGTTACAACTAGCAGTAGTATCACTTGCATGTAGACTGCAGTGTATTTCATAGCGGGAATATATCAGTTCCACTTCATGTTTGCTTTTGATTGAAGTAGTGATGGAAAAAAATCATTAAAGGGAGACAATTCCTAAGTCAGCCTCCTGCTGTTCAGCTATTAGCTGTTTCTGTTGCTACGCTGCAAGGAAGTTGCACTTTATGGCATTTCTTGTATTGTCTGGTTGCTGCATCTCTGGAGTGGGGCAAGTATTGGCACGAACCATGACTCCCTTCATCCTACCCATTGGGGCTTCCCTTGAAAGGTGGGTAGGAGCATGGTGCACACCCACACCTCTTCCCAGTATGGAAACTGGGCTTAGCTGGCATGCATGCTTGGAAATTGGGGCTGTAGCACCCATTGTGGAAAGTAACTGTCCTGAAGATGTTGTCGCTTCCTTGGAAATGTTCTCAGTAGAGACAACATCTCCTCCTGCACGATGTTTGTCACCTCAAGCCTTCTTCTAAGTCATTGAACTGAAATACTGAATCTGACCAGGTCTGATAGTTTCTTACATGTATTGGAAATCTTCCAAAGCCTGTTAGAGTGGATAATATTTGTACTTCAGAAATAATTATGCATTGCACCCAGACCTAGCAAAAATGCATGTATTTGGCTGTATAGAATGACTTTGTTACAAAAAGCCAATTACTTATTATGAAGTAGAATTACGGGGTACTCAACACTGCTTATTTTAGGTATGTAGTTTATTCTTTTGAGTGTAGAGATAATAGCCTCAGACTACTTCCAGTCACCAGTTAATCCTTTTCTTGCATTTTAATGGATCATTATTAATTTTTAGAATTGTTTTTGTCAGCTATCTTCTCTTAGCTCTAGCAATCTGAAAGGCTAGAGGTTTTTCAGTTAATTACAAAATCAAGCTACATCTTCTATCCTGTGCTTGAATCATGGCTGGTCTATACATCCTTACAACACTGGACAACACTGAATTTGAATGGGGGATTTTGTGTCCCGATATGTAAGTACATTTTGCAAGATCTTATGGCCAAGGTTTCCTCCCTAAAAGAGACATAAGACTTCATGGGAGTAGTTCAGTTGTGTGAGAATTTCAGCTTTGAGTAAGTATAAAAAGTCTAACTCTACAAACTGGGAGATACAGAAGAAGAGCAAAGGTTGTGAAGCACTCCTTTAATTAAATAAAATAAAAGTTGGTGCAATACTGCAAAAACGGTTTTTAGCATACAACATACAAATTATATGCTTATATGTAGCTGTTGTAATACATTTTTTTGCTCTTTGGAGACTGACCTGAATGTTCAGGGTCCTATCATTTCAGAATTCTGCTATGAATGAAAATATAATTTTCATTTTTTGCTAAAACAAAAAGCTGTTGTCTCCTCCTGGCTTGTAGGTGGCAAAAAAGTGAGTGGGTCCCAGAGTGATGGGGAAAAAAAGATAATTTAGGCAAGCAGTTGTACATGTTTCTCTTTCTACCACCCCCAGCTGTGCAATTACATTTTGAGATGCAGCCCAGGTCTAAGACACTCTTCCATGATACGGTCATTGTATCTCCACTTTATCTCCTTATTTAACACAACTTACTTTTCTGTTACCTTGGATATTTTTAAGCTTTTAGAGAAACTGAGGCAAATAATTCTGGATCTGAACACAGTTTTGTGAAATGACAAGGAGAAAACGTAGTGTTAAGCTTTAGGTTTTGTTTCTTGACTCAGAGTGAAGTTACGCTGTCCCTCATTGTACGATAAGCTCTGATATCATATGCAGAAGAAAAGTGCAAATCCGCAATTAGGAAATGCTGGTTGGCAAAAGGCAACTCCGGTCTATAAAGAGAAAGCAAACTATAATACCTTGAGAAGCGTGCATAAAAAGTACGAAGGCACAGATTTAACTAGGATCTCTCTTACACTGAAGGAGTTTAACTGAGTTCCCCTACGTGCGTGCGTTCGGGTGCAGTGGGCAGGATGTGACCCTGCTCTGAGACTGTGCTTTCAAAGCCAGTTTATGCGGGCACCGGACCATGCTGCCAGGGGCAGCCCAACCCTTTTGCCCCCGCCTGTGTGCTCAGCAGCTTCCCTTGCTTCAGCTCTGGTGGCGATCAGGCTGTAGGCAAGTTGGAACAGTTCCTTGAATTGGTAATTAATTAATAAGCAATCAGTTTTCTTTTTCACAATGAGCTTTCTGGCTCCCTCGTCTGATGCCCTCAACTGCTACATAGGAATCAGAAGAGTGACAGTGAAGGAGAAATCACTGCCCTTTCTGCAGTCTTGAAGTTACAAGGGTTTTTTGTTACGGTTATTGAAGCAAGTTAGGAAAATTAAGTTTGCTGAGTAGAAGGGGAGCTTATCCTTGAGGAGCTAAGGGGAATTTGCTCTCTCATTCATCATTCCCACATTGTAAAAAAGATTTTCAAACTTTCTCTGAAAATTGCTTTGGAAGTTTGTCCTGGTTTCGGCTGGGATAGAGGTAATTTTCTTCCTAGTAGCTAGCATAGTGCTGTGTTTTGGATTCAGTACCAGAAGAATGTTGATAACACACTGATGTTTTAGTTGTTGCCCAGTAGTGCTCAGACTACTCAAGGACTTTTTGAGCTTCTCCTGCTTGGCCAGGTGCATAACAAGCTGGGAGTACAGCACAGCTAGGACAGCTAACCCAACCTGTTCAAAGAGTTATTCCATACCATAGAACATCATGCTCGGGGGGGTTAGTTGGTCGGTTGGTCGCGGGGAGAGTGATCACGGCTCGGGGACTGATCACGGCTCGGGGAGTGGTCGCGGCTCGGGACGGGCTGGGCATCGGTCGGTGGGTGGTGAGCAATTGCATTGTGCCTCATTCGTTTTGTATATTCTGTATATTCTGTTATCATTCTCATTATTACTATTATTATTATTTTCTCTTATTAAACTGTCTTTATCTCAGCCCTCGGCTCTAACCTTTTATTTCCTTCCCGATTCTCTCCCCCATCCCACTGAGGGAGGGGGGGAGTGAGCGAGCGGCTGCGTGGTGCTGAGTTGCCAGACGGGTTAAACCACGACAAAGTTCCAGATGAAAAGTTGAAGGTTGGAGTATGAGAGAATAGTTTCATGTGAAGACAGTTGTTGAAGTGTTATGTTAATATTAAGTACTAACAGGATACACGTGTTCCTGAGCCTAATGAATATGTAAATGAAAATAAAACCTGAAGTTAATACATGAAGCACAAAAAATCTTGCTGCTGTTTTCTGTTTTTACAAAAATACAAACCCAAATTATATTTTAGCTGTCTCCAACTCCCAAGTGTCACAAGCCTTAGTATGGAAAATGTTGAAAAAGCTGTGACAGAATAGGTGGTACAACATGTGGCTTTTGATCTATTACATAAAACTTCCTTTTTTTTTCCACTCCCCGTCCCGTGTTTCTGGGAGGACATAAGGTGTGTGTAGAATAAATTTGAAAGCCCTATATAACAGCGTAGTCTGTTACTGCAAATATTTTGATTCCAGTAAATCTTCAGTACCTGAAGTTCTGAGGGGTAAGTTTGGCCGTAATCAATGGTATTTTATTGGTAAGAATAAAAATCTCTCCCTTGGCATCCTATTCCTCATTTTAAGTTGGTAGGTGATCAGCAGTTACCGGGAAGATGTGGCAATGATGTATCAAGTATGGCAATAAAGATAAGCCATAACATTTTATACTCTTCATTTGTGAATGAAAATATAATTTTCCTTTTTTGCTAGTTCTGGAGAATGATGAAACTATCCCGAAATATTTTAAAATGTTTAATTATGGAGCGCATTACAAAAACATCACTCTTGGTATATTAATGCACAGGTGCTCCTAGTAAAACTGTCTGCCCTGTCAAAATGTACGAAGCCTGATACACATGGAAGCTACTGGCTGTTCATGCAAAGCTACATATTCAAGTATCTGTGGATGATGATGATTTATCTTGAGTAGGCTTTACTTACCCAAACCCCTGCTTCTTGTTAGAAGCACGAACTTCCTGATAAACTATGACCTGACTGTCATTCCCATCGCTGTTGGCCCTGTCTTTTGGCACCATCTTTTGAAGGTCCATACAGGTGGGCCCTTACGGTAGCCAATTTTGTAGTTGACGAAAGGCTGTAACATTCATTTTTAATCTTGCTGCTGTACATGTTGCTATATCTAGAGATAAATATCTGAGAGTCTTAGAAATAAGCTGAATTGTGCATAATCCCTTAAAAAAATTGCACTGACCTTGTGTTTCTTACAGAGGGTTGTTCTGTAGTTGACACAGGAGGCTGAGGAAAACTCAATGGGGCTAAATATAATTGTAGCTCTTGTTGTATATTTTCAGTGTGACCTAGAGGAAGCGTTCCCTTGTATGAAAACTCATAAAAGAAAGATAATGATTCCTCCTTTCCTCAGAATATTATTGGAACACTCTCTTGAATAGTTGTTCCACCTGAGATACAAAAGCAACGAATACCATCTAAGATGGGTGCTGTTCTTTTAGCTCTAACAAGCTATGATAGTCATTCCATGGCCAAGGAATTTTTTGCATTGAACAGCACCTGTATCTTTTTAATTAATAATTAAAGGATTTATTATTTTTTGTATTGGTTTTACAGCTTTTAGTGTTGCTATAGGAGTATCTAACATGGGACAAAAAATAGTGAAGCTCCTTGCTATTCCTGTCCTGATTTTTCAAATGATAACAAGACACTTCAATGAGAAAAAAGATGCAAAAATAAGCCATTCTGCAGAATGCTCCAATTCTTTTATTTTCTGCATTTGTAAAGTCTGTATAAAATAGATAACTAGCTGTCTGATCAGGATGTTCTTTGTGCTTCCACTACAGATTCTGGATTTTGGATTGGCAAGGCATACAGACAGTGAGATGACCGGTTATGTGGTTACAAGGTGGTACAGAGCCCCAGAGGTTATACTTAATTGGATGCATTATACGCAAACAGGTCAGCATCTCTTCAGAAAAGTCTTAACAGAGCTGAAGCATTCACTGAATATGGCAACATATATGCAAGTCTTTGTTTCTGAAGTAAATGAGAAACTGGAGGTGGAAATGACAATATAATTACGCAAAACTTCCTTGTAGATAAATTGCAGATAATCATTTGGTGGTTGTGAGTTTGGGGGCTTTTTTGTATGTTTTCTGAGAGTAACAGAAAGTGGAAAAAAGCTATATAAATGTATACAGATGTGACAGTCTGGTCTACATTCTTGTGTTCTGCATTGACTGTCATCCTTGCGCAAAGGTGTGCTGATTGTAACTCAGACATGGGAAAATGTCAGAAGGAGGGAATTCAGGTAACGCTAGGATGACTATGGATGGTTTTGAAAGCATTGAAAATTTACTTCCCTCATGCATCTGCCTGTTACTGAGAAACTGATTCTGCATAGTATCAGATTATCTCCCGTTTGCTAAATGGAAAGGCTGGTAGTTTTATCTATGCCATTCATCGCTTGGCAAGGCACTCATGTATTTTGTAACAGGCTATAAAGGTAAATTTTACATGTCTTTAAAATATGTTTTAAATTAAATTTTATGTACATTTAAATGGACAAGTATTCAGCAATTTAATGTGACCGTTGGTCTCTTTCTCAGTTGACATCTGGTCTGTGGGCTGTATAATGGCTGAGATGATAACGGGGAGGCCTCTGTTCAAAGGAAATGATCGTATCCTTCAGTGAGTTTATGACACTAATGTAAGAAAATGATGAGAGGTTCTTATGTGATACAGTAGGTCTGTTCAAAAACTGATGAGCATAAATTGAAATGAATAGTAAAATGGCTTGCACCTTTCTCATTAGCTGGTTATTTGGTATCTGTACCACTGTTGCACATCTGCAAATTAAAACTTGTTTTACTGAATTTTATCAACAGAGAAAGAGAGATCATCTTTGAATCGCGTCTCAGATCATCAGGTAAAAGGTTCTGTGATAATAGAAAAGGCATATTTTGATTTTTTTTTTTTTTTTAGTAATAGATTCCACGGCTCCAGAACATGCACATAAGACTTTGCTGTAGTATATGGACTTACGTGCACATGCTAGCCTATTTCATGCTTTTTGAGACTTTTACTAAAAAATGTTATGTAAGTAACACCTAGCAAAATGTTTTAGATTTACAGAAAACAACTAGTCCTATCATTTCATTGCTGAGGAATTCAGAAAACAGTTAAGATTAAGCCATAATTCAACCTCAAGTGATGCTTCATTGGCAGTAGTAGTTGGAATAGTTAATAGAGGACAGTGTTAGTAGAAGGCAGCAAGAATTTTTTACTTTTTTTTTTTGTTTCCCAGCTTTGTATGTTTGACAGCTCAGCCTAATCATTTTGTACTGCTTTTCCCCTTGTGGAGTTCCAGTCAATAAATTGCTTATACTTGCAAATACTTGGTTGCAGAATCACAATTGTTTGATTTTAGTTATATTTGTATTTAAGTACTTACATGTAAGTTTAGGACTTCATTGCATGGAGCATATTATTTATGTAAGGAAAAACATAAAAAAGGAAGATTGCATTCATGAAAAACATTACTGGGACTGTGGAAAAGTGGAATACATCAGATTATTTCAGCTGTACAGATTTTAAGTATGCATTAGTTCTTCACAAGCAAATACTGAAATGCCTGCCAAAGAACAGCCATTGACTAACACAGCATTTCTCAGCTAACGCTAACCTTGAGCATTCTGGTACATAAATAAGGAGATGAATGAATCATAATTTTCAAGTTGCAATGTAAATGTAAGTGTAGAAAAGCTAGTATTTTAGTCATACTGGGGTTTGGAGTTTTCAGTACTATTGGCTGCAGTTCTACGTCCTGCATTACGAAAGAAATTACCCCAGCATAATAGTCCTCGCTGGCCTTTGAGTATATGAATCCATATTACCTGTTGTCAGGGAAACGCAGCCACGGGTCCAGCTGTAGGTAGGTGAATAAGAAAACAGCTAACTTAAGGGATTTTTGGTTTAGCAATATTAATAGGTTGTCCTGCAAACTTGGTGTGGGGGTTTATTTATTTATGTATTTAATCCGCATTACCCACCATTGCCTTTCTCTGCAGAGGTTGGTAGAAGCCTCGTGTGCCAAGCACTGATCTAGCTTCTAGCTTCTCATCTGCTGCTCTTACCAGAGTAGCAAACGAGTTGTAAAGCTGTTCTCTGCAGCATTAGCCTCCTGTGAACATGGCGTTTCTTCTCTGAAACAGCTAATACTGTTGCTGATGACTCTGTGCTGGTTTAGGGCACGGAAGACTAGGGAGTGTTCTGATGCCTTACCCCATGTCTCCAACATGTCAGCACCTGGAATTGAGCTAAACATGTGGGAAATGAGGAGGAGAGGGATTCTTTTTTTTTTTTCCTTGAAGTTTCTCAATATGGAGAAGAACTAACACAGACTAGTCTCCTCTGATTTTTGTTCCGTTTATCGTACCACCTGATGTTCCCTGTGACTTTTCCTGCTTCTATGTCACCTAAGTATTGGATAGATGAGGGCAATGCATGCAATACATGTGTTGATTGTTCAGATACTCCAATACTTTTGGGATGATTTTTGACCAAAAATGTAGGGGAGGCCTGATGATATTAGAGGAGTTTGCAGATGATTCAGTTATGTATTCCCAGATTATAGGATATTTTATTTCAGGTGCTTTGAATGTCTTTGCCATTTGCAAGAAAAATAGAGAAGCTTCATCTCATCTTCCATAAATCTTGTGTTCAGTCCTTGCATTATGATTTTTGCTTTATTCTCCAATAGCGAAGAAACTCAGAATTTTTGCAAGGTATTTAGTTTTATGGTGAAAGACTTTGTTCCTTATTTCTGGTATTCAGATCTGGATCAACTCACAGAAATAATGAAAATAACAGGTACACCAACTCAAGATTTTGTTCAAAAATTGCAGAGTCAAGATGTGAGTATTCTGCTTTGTCATTTGGTTTTACATGTCTTAATTTGACTTAAGCCATGCTCAGTTCTTAGACTGTCTGAGATAATATGTATTGACTACTGAAATGACTCCTGATGGTACATCTCTGCCTTGAAGTGCTTTGCACACCCAGAATAGCTACTGGAGATTAAGGGGACAGAGAAAATGATCAGGACACTTGAAAAATACTTCAAAGCTTCATGTGTGTACTATATAAGCAGTTGAGCTGATGTATTACTACCCTTATCAGAAACGTACTGCAAACATGAAGCTATTCAGAAAACCCAGTTGTTCTGCAGATGTCTCCTACTTTGTCTTTCCTATTCTTGTGTGGATGTCCTTCTACAATCCTTGAGCCTCTACTATAAAAAGCCTAACATTAATCATTAGATTAACTGTACCATGTAAGTACTAATGAGTTACTGTATAAGGTTCATTTCTAGACACTCCTGTAAACTCACTATGACATGATTTCAAATTATGCATATTTATTCTAATTAATATATTAAGTATTTAGGACTCCTAATTAAAGCTTTACATTATCATTTCTTAATCACAGTTTTAAGGCTTGATTTTTAAAAAAAGTTCCTTTCAACAAGAAGGTGAATATAATCAGGGTTTCTGACCCCAAAAAACTCCATTTGTGCAATGTGCTATCAAAGCATTGGTGAGTCACCTGTTATGCGTATAGTTAATGTTGTCACATTACAAAGGCGGCAATGGTCTAATTTAATATTCATGTTTCTTTTAAGGCAAAAAACTATATCAAAAGCCTCCCAAAAGTCCAGAAAAAAGATTTTGCATCCATCTTGAAGTATGCAAATCCCTTGGGTAAGACAGTTTGTGTGAATGTGTACAATTTGTCTTGTTCTTGTGTTTGCATTGAAGGCAGAAGCAGTGTCAGCCATGAGATAGGTTATGTGATGGTTCTTGTGCTTTTCTATCTCTTGCTTTCCATAATTCATAACTTTGATTTTAGTGGCTGAACTTTGCCAAGTTTAGACCCTGCCAGTAATCAGATGTTTCTTAGAAGAGTCAAAAAAGAAGTATTTTGTGTTTTAGGCTCCAATCCAGCATCTGCTTGATGGTTTTACTGGAGCAGCTTTCTCAAGAGCCCTGGGAAATTAAATATATGTGATAAATTTTTCTGTGCATTGTATATGAAATGTAATTCTGAAAGCAGCTCAATCTGATCTACAGTAGAAATGCAAGCAAATAGAAAGCTGACATTTTAGTCATGGAATGAACACATCCTGAGAAACATCTGTGCATTCCTGAGAAGCACTGGCTTGGATTTGATAGATATAAACAGGCAGAAGAGCATACCAAGTGTGCATAACTGTGACATGACTCAAGGCAGCCAGAGTTCTCAGATGGCTCTGCCTAAACCTTACCCATTCCCCAATGACTTGAACAGTCACAAAGCTGGTTTTATTAGAGTATCAGTTAGGATAATTGAATCTTCTCAATTTAAGAGTTAAAATTGTATGTTCAGATACAGTAGAAATAAAGGTGATTAATCAAGTGGCTCGTACCTGGACTGCATGGTTAGCTCACTGACCTTCTGAGCTACAGCAAACTCTACACATTTCCGTTTAGTTTTTAGGATGTTTCTTCCTATCGTTTCTGTGTCCATCTGGCTGCTCCTTATCTAGAGAACAACTAACTGCTCGTGGCCTGGGAGAAAAGGCTGGAGAGAATCCATGATGTGGCAAGCCGGGGTTGAGCATCCTGTCCCACGCTGCTGCCTCTTCTTCCTTTCAGCTGCTCCACCCAATGCTGGAACATTCTTTCAGGATAGAAAAACGGGGAATAAACAAATCATTCATCATATCTGCTTACACTAGGCCATTTTGACAGTCTAACAGTGAGCCTGATCCAAAATCCACTGGAGAGGAACATAGAAGATTTTCATTGTTTTGGCTGAGGTCAAAAACACATAGCATATAAAGTCAGCGCTGAGATTCTGAGCATAGACAAATGGCTTGTCTTAGCAAACTTCAGAGAGTTCTTGGGCTTGGATTTGGTCACACGCGGAGCAATTCTCATTAGCTCTACACCCACCTGCTCATTCTGCTGCTGTCAGGTCCTGATGTACCTCAGAACCACAACCCAGTGGCGGCAGTGATGAAAGGCACCTGGGAAAGCCCCAGGCACAGTGGTCCTGGACCAGAGAATTCATTAGCTGAGGTGATGTGGATGTTACTGCCTACAGAAGCAAGGGAGCATCTCTGTGTTGCATCAGGCTTTGTACACATCGCAGCTTCCTCACAACACTATTTTGTCATGCAGATAGGTCCCACTGGCTATATAATGAACACCCAATGATTCTCCTTTATAACTCTCTGTATTTATTTGAAATACCTCCAGGGCAACATTACTGTGTACAAGCTGGAATCAGTGGCATGATTTGAATGCACTGCTTGTTTTCTGTTCAATAGCTGTAAACCTTTTGGAGAAGATGCTGGTGCTGGATGCAGAGAAGCGCATCACAGCAGCTGAGGCTTTGATGCATCCTTACTTTGAACCAATTCACGATCCTGAGGAAGAAACTGAAGCTGAGAAATATGATGACACATTTGATAACATGGATCTTCCGCTAGATGAGTGGAAGCGTGAGTTTAGTTTTGTGATGTTTTTAAAAATTACCTGATGGAAAGGCCATCCAGAAATAGGAATATTCCCCTTTACAAAATACTTTGCTTTTGATGGAACAGAGTAAGTAGACAGCATTAAGATAGAGAAACACTGCTGATAAGCCAGCGTTCCTCTTATCAAGTCCTCCTGCGACAATCCCCAAAGGTTTCTTCTCTGCCCTTCTAACAGATGCTCTTCCTCCTCCTCTTCCTCCTCCTCTTCCTCCTCCTCTTCCTCCTCCTCTTCCTCCTCCTCTTCCTCCTCCTCTTCCTCCTCCTCTTCCTCCTCCTCTTCCTCCTCCTCTTCCTCCTCCTCTTCCTCCTCCTCTTCCTCCTCCTCTTCCTCCTCCTCTTCCTCCTCCTCTTCCTCCTCCTCTTCCTCCTCCTCTTCCTCCTCCTCTTCCTCCTCCTCTTCCTCCTCCTCTTCCTCCTCCATGTGTCTGTCCTCCCATCTTCAGCAGTGTAGGAAAGAAACCTTTTCTGTAACGTGTTCCTTCCAGTGGATGAGACAGGCAAACAGATTCCTCAACTGTTGGCTCCATAGGACTGCAATGGTTGCTGGCCTTAATTTTAAGTTAGGTTCTTTCAGGAAGAGAAAATATATCTGTCTCAGTAGGGATTTAAGCCTGAGTCTAGTTTTCAGCTAACGTCAGAGGTTTGTATTTTGGCTTTTAAGTGAGGACTGGACTTTTAAAGCTGATGTGCTCAGTAGCTCTTTCTGAGGGTATTGCCCCCTATACTGTAAAGTCAATGCTCACATCCCTTTTAAAGCACCTGTAACATTTCAGTATTGGGCTACTTCTTCAAATCTGAAATGGTGAAAAAGCAGTCCTTGATTCCCTTACTTTTTGTACTCTTTCTTCTTTGCCTGAAGAGGTCTCTCTCTTCCTGACCTAGATCGGAGCCTAACCATGCTGGGGGCTACAGCTTGCTCATGTCTGTGCAGCTGTCTTTCTGATTAGACCAGCAACACTATGTTTATTCTGTTGTTTTCCAGGCATTACATATAAAGAGATACTGAACTTCAAGCCACCGCAGACATTGGAGTCAAAGGAGACAGCAGTGTAATTGCATGATGCGGTCTTTTCAGAACTCAGAAGAAAGCAGGAAAGTTGTAAATGTTTGTGATATTTCAGGTGTATAAAACTTTTATAAATAAACTGGATGTAATCTGCTTCATCTGCACTGTAAGAAAGAGCAATGTCTTTTACTCTGCATGTAGAAGTTGATGCCTTTGGAAGTAGCATTTCAAAACTGTCCAGAAACTTATTCTTGCCTACAACTTCTTCCTTCTGCACAAAAGGATTCAGACTGTGATAACCTGGTGCCATCCTCAAAAGAGCAGGTAGGACTAATTCTTCAACTCAGAGATCAGAAGAGTACAAGTTACCACCCTAAGCAAGTTGAGACACAGAACATGTCAGAGAAGTGCCATGACTGCTCTCCAAGGCCACTGAAGGAAGTATTCGTGTGACTTCCTCTGGAATATTTCACCTCGGTAAGATGCCTGGGGAGGCTGGTCTGCTTCTGCTACTTCAGCTAGCGCGGCGGGTAGCAGAGATGCAGCCCAAATTAATGCCTGTATCCCTTGTCCTATGTGGGTGGAAGAGAACCTGAGCTCCAGCCATTTTTGACAGATCTGGGCTAGAGGCAAGAAGCAGAGAAGTGTTGATGTCCTGGATTTTTTCAACGTAACCAGCACATCAGGACAAGATTTGACAAATGCACTGGATGAACAAACAGTCACTGTCCAGGGGTACAATATTTTCCTCTGAATACAGTGCAGGCTTTTTGTGTAATAGACTAGGGATCGAGGATTTCCAGGGAGAAATTCTTAAGACTTTCTAAAATTTTGTAATCTCTCTAGCATCTTAGTATTTAAATGATCACTAAAAAGGTACCTCTCAGAGGACGTACTGGTTATAGAATCAGCAGTGCTGCTTTTAGAAATAGAGCTGCACATGGGTCACGTTATAGAAAACAAAATGAGGATAAAAATGCTATGCTGCAGCTGTTCATTGGGAATACCTGCGGCAAGCTATTTTGTTCACAGTGTATAGAGGTGTTGCCTGGTGCAGAATAACAACCATTCCTTTTTTTAGCCCTTTGAACTCATCTTACTTGGGGAGGGGGGGAAACCTTCAGACCTTCTGTTGGGAGGTGCCTTACCAGAGGGAGCCAGCTTCCTGATGGGATATCGGACACTTCATGAGTTCCTCTTATTGACTGGATTCATTTATTGTATTGTCCTTTGGCGAAGAATTTCTCTGTGAGATTGCTTGTCCTTGTTAAAGGTAATCTCTTTACAGTTGACTATTTGAATGTGGATTATTCCCAATGCAATATGCTGTTGTGTGTTGCTACGAAGTGAAAACAGTTGTGAAGAAAGACATTTGATCTTACCCGCTAATAACTGAAAAAGAAGTAAGAAATTACTTGGGGTTTTTTGCTTTAATAACCATTTTAAGCCAGAAGTTTAGTCAAGGCACAGTTGTGTTGTTTCTTTCAATGAATGTTTAACACCTGTAAATATTAGCATCTGTTTAGAAATTGTGATAAGCATTGATTAGCTGAGATGGGCACCTAGAGAGACTAAATGGTAAAAGAAACCTTGAATTATTGATGTATGTGACAAGTCATTAAGAACTATAGTTTCAGGAATGCATGCAAAAAAAAAGAAGAGAATGTAATTTGAAACAAAACGTTTTTCCACACTACAGGTCACTGAGGAAGGCACGCTTCTTAAGAGTCATACCCCATTGTGCACTATTGACTTTTGGACTACACTGTTACGTTAAATAGGAACTGGAACCGTGTTTTTTACTGAACATCAGAGAACTGATGTTTTCTCTTTTAGGATCATGCCCTGTGGTCCTCTTAAAATTCATTGGAGAAGAGTGCCTATTGGAATTGGTGGGTTTGATAGACACAGTCACGGGCAATGGAAGAATGTCATAAGCTTCTTTGAAAATGCTCCCTCTGTATTTTAAATGGAATTTCAGCATCCTAAATTCTGGCAAATGTCTAAAGTCTTGTGATAATGTAAATGTCTCAAATGTTAGACTTGAGGGAGCATGTTTTTTCACTGAAAAAACAGTTTGCATTTTCTTTGTAAATGCCAACACTTCAATGGGCATTTTCACTTCTCCCCACTTCAGCTTTAGGGAAGTCAAGCCCTAAAAACCTCCACTGGCTGAGGTGCATGTTTCCCTCTCCTAATCTTGACACAGTATTTGGAGAAGCAGCTTGCCTGCATGAGAAAGACATAAGAAGATAATGATCGTTTTTTCTGGATATTGGGGGAATACAGAACTCTTAAAATAACTGAAGACCTTGATGCACGTGCCAGCAAAGACAGAAGTACTGCTGTGCTGTCTAGTCAGCAAACAGTCCTTAAGGTAAAATAGCAAACAGTCCGTAAGGTAAAATAACAATCACGGGAAGTTTGTCACATCTTGGCAAGTTGTTTCTGCTAAGAGGTTGAAATCTGCAGAAATGGCTCCAAACAGCAATAGAGATTATTAGTATAAATAGCTCATTAAAAGAAATACAAGGTGAAAGCAGAAATACTTTGCATGGGAGGCAGCTGCTGCTTCAAAGGGAGAGACAACATTTCCTAAGTTTTTATTTGCTATTTCTACTGGTGCTAAGCAACTCAGGAATAAGAACCCAGTTTCTGTTTGCCTTAAAGAGAAATGTAAATACGTTTTGCATGTACTTGAAATGTATTGTGAAAAATAAAGGTCGGGGGGTTGTTTTTTGCACAGTAATGGTCTTATTTTCCTCATGTGTATTCCCAAATGTATAATCACTACTGAAAATAGTATTTTTGGTATAAGGGAACTGTATGAAACCTAATATTGTAGATACATTTCATGTAATATGAGCTGCTGGTGCAGTTTATTTTGGAAGTCAGTCAGACCATAGATCCTAACCTGTCTCCCATTTTCCTAACTTTAAGTCAGCCACGGAGCTGACCTGATTGTCCTACTGCCACCTAATTATTTCTTATAGCATCTTGGTATTTTACCAGACATCTCTGCTTTGTTCTGAAGGACAGGATTTCAATCCTTAAATGCAGTTGCATTCTTCAGCCTGATTTTAAAAGCCAAAGTCAGACTGACAGTCACCAGGCGTATACATCTTTGAGTTGGACAGGGAAGTCTGAGTTAACAGAGTTCTAGTAGGATACATGGGACTTTGCCCCAGAAACCCACGTGCCCCCTGACTGTTCTAGAGCAAGATTGTCCTCTTAAGTGTTAGTCTTCATTGCATTGAAGACTCAGCTTTCATGTTGAATTTTGATAATGTGGTGGTGTGGGCCAGATGTGGCTCACGATTTCACTTCTTGATTATTTTCTGGGGTTTTTTTACAGGATAACACTGAGGTGAGTGCTAATACGTGTCCTGCAAAATGTGTTCAGAAGATCCACTTTGTTCTTGATTCGGAACTACCAGGCATCTGAGCTGGGTGGGATTCTTTGAGCTTCCTGTGTGCTGATCTGCTGTTCAGATACAAATATCGGGTGCTGCTGGTCTGCTTCTGCTCTGGTTGTCAGAGAATGAGGCATCGTTAGATGCGGTCAGTCACTGCATCTTGGTGTGAAATACGCCTGTCGGACTTTAGACGGGCCCTGCAGGTACCAGGGAAAGAACAGGGGCTCATAACCTGCTGTCTCTACTGATCAGTTCTCCCTCTCCTGAACACAGCGTAGGGCAACTGGTTGTGTAAGTCAAACAATACCAGAAGCAGTTTCATGGGCTACAGCACTTAAAATCTCCTCCTAAGTATTTTTAAGAATTCAGAAGCATGAGCTGGAGAAAGATCAAGGGAGGAGGACTTCCATCATACAGACGCTCTTTGAAACTTTGTGGAATACCATTTAATGAGCAGCTCTTGTGCACAGATTATTTGCAGCCCTCTGGGATAGTAACATAATGATCTAAAACCAGCATTGCCACCTAGCAACCACATGCAGCTCTCGGGCATGGGAATGGTGCATGCTTCATAGCTACCAGGAACAGCATCCCTCTGCCAGGAGGTAAGTGGCGAAAAGGAAAGTAATTTAAGGATTCATTATTTTTGTCTGCTGCTCTCCTGCTCTGCAAGAAGAGCTCCTTTATGCTTTACCTCGTTACATTTCCATGCTGGAGTTTTCAAGTTCACTCCGAGGTCTGCTTCATCAGTAAGTGATGAGGTGCATTCCCCAGCTAAGTTGGAGTGATGAAGGCATTGCAACTCTTACGCCTTTCATTGAAGTACCTTGAATGTGCTGTTATCTTTGAGAGGCAATATGAGGCAACCGGTGAGGCAACCAAATGAAATGTAGTGGAAGAAATTGCTTGGGTCCCATTTGCAAATGCTCCCGGTTTTACCATGCAGTGTCATAGAATAGAATAGAATTGTTTAGGTTGGAAAAGATCTTTAAGACCATCAGGTCCAACCGTTAACCTAACCCTGCCATCCCCCCACTAAACCATGTCCCTAAGCACCTCGTCTACCCATCTTTTAAATACCTCCAGGGATGGGGACACAACCACTTCCCTGGGCAGCCCGTTCCAGTGCTTGACAACCCTTTCGGTGAAAAAATTTTTCCTAATGTCTAACCTAGGGGTGTCCTGGGGACATGTGCTGGAGGCAGCAGGAAATGTCTCTTGCTGTGTTTGCATGGTGCCGGCAGCAGCAAGGCTCTCTGAGTGGCACTTGTGACAGCAACACATCCAAAGACTGCCGCCTCATCCAATTCAGTCTGATACTAATGGGAAATCCATTATTATTATAACAGTAATATTATCACAGGTTATAACAGTGCATTTAGTCCATAACGGAGCATTTAGTCCACTGGGGGCCTGGGCCAAGGCAGCTTTTTGTCAGGCATTTTAAAACCTCCATTTGCATGTGACGGAGCTCCTGCCACCAAGTAGTACCAATTTGGCACGTGTCCAACCATTTTGCTATTCCTAGGAAACTCCTTACATTTGGGGGTTTGAGTCAAGTTTGAATTCCCTTTTTCATAAAAACGGTAGTGTGCTACTGTAAGGAGAGAAAATACAGCTGGGAAGTGTAATCAGAAAAACATTTCTCCAAAGCAGACCCCTCTCTCAAGATCTAGGATACATTATAAAATAAAGGTCAGCTATAAGGAATCAAAATTGCTACCCAGGAAGAACCCGGAACCATGGCTGGAGTAACCAAGTATTTTGGTTAGAGTTTGAACTCTTAAAAGAATCCCTTTTTATTTAATGCAGAAAATTAACACAATAGAAACCTTGAATAAAGAGGAAGCATGACTGGTGCACACAAAATGTCTGCTGAAGCAGGGCACCTATTTAAGAACAGATTTGCAA